GAGCAATCTACACATTCAATGCAATCCCCATCAAAATACCATCCACTTTTTTCAAAGAAATGGAACAGATAATCCTAAAATTTGTATGGAACCAAAAAAGACCCGGAATAGCCAGATGAATGTTGAAAAAAAAAAAAAAGCATAGCTGGTGGCATCACAATTACAGACTTCCAGCTCTAATACAAAGCTGTCATCACTAAGACAGTATGGTACTGGCACAAAAACAGACACATAGATCAGTGGAACAGAATAGAGAGCCCAGAAATGGACCCTCAACTGTATGGTCAACTAATCTTCAACAAAGCAGAAAAGAATGTCCAGTGGAAAAACGACAGTCTCTTCAACAAATGGTGTTGGGAAAATTGGACAGCCACATGCAGAAGAATGAAACTGGACCATTTCCTTACACCACACACAAAAATAGACTCCAAATGGTTGAAGACCTAAATGTGAGACAGGACTCCATCAAAATCCTAAAGGAGAACACAGGCAGCAACCTCTTCGACCTCAGCCGCAGCAACTTCTTCCTAGAAACATCACCAAAGGCAAGGGAAGCCAGGGCAAAAATGAACTATTGGGATTTCATCAAGATAAAAAGCTTTTGCATGGCAAAAGAAACAGTCCACAAAACCAAAAGACAACTGACAGAATGGGAGAAGACATTTGCAAATGACATCTCAGATAAAGGGCTGGTATCCAAAATCTATAAAGAACTTATCAAACTCAACATCCAAAGAACAAATAATCCAATCAAGAAATGGGCAGAAGACATGAACAGACATTTTTCCAAAGAAGACATCCAAATGGCCAACAGACACATGAAAAAGTGCTCAACACCGCTCGGCATCAGGGAAATCCAAATCAAAACCTCGATGAGATACCACCTCACACCAGTCAGAATGTCTAAAATTAACAAGTCAGGAAACGGCAGATGTTGGCGGGGATGCGGAGAAAGGGGAACCCTCCTACACTGTTGGTGGGAATGCAAGCTGGTGCAGCCACTCTGGAAAACAGTATGGATGTTCCTCAAAAAGTTGAAAATAGAGCTACCATACAGTCCAGCAATTGCACTACTGGGTATTTACCCCAAAGATACAAATGTAGGGATCCGAAGGGGTACGTGCACCCTGATGTTTTAGCAGCAATGTCCACAATAGCCAAACTGTGGAAAGAGCCAAGATGTCCATTGACAGATGAATGGATAAAGAAGATGTGGTATATATATAGTATGGAATATTATGCAGCCATGAAAAGGAATGAGATCTTGCCATTTGCAATGACGTGGATGGAACTGGAGGGTGTTATGCTGAGTGAAATAAGTCAATCAGAGAAAGACATGTATCATATGACCTCAATGATATGAGGAATTCTTAATCTCAGGAAACAAACTGAGGGTTGCTGGAGTGGGGGTGGGGTGGGAGGGATGGGGTGGCTGGGTGATAGACATTGGGAAGGGTATGTGCTATGGTGAGCGCTGTGAATTGTGCAAGACTGTTGAATCACAGATCTGTACCTCTGAAACTAATAATGTGATATGTTAAAAAAAAAAAAAGATAGCAGGATGGGAAGAATGAAGGGGGGTAAATCGGAGGGGGAGATGAACCATGAGAGACGATGGACTCTGAAAAACAAACTGAGGGTTCTAGAGGGGAGGGGGTGAGGGGATGGGTTAGCCTGGTGGATGGTTATTAAGGAGGGCACGTTCTCCATGGAGCACTGGGTGTTATGCACAAACAATGAATCATGGAACACTACATTACAAACTAATGATGTAATGTATGGTGATTAACATAACAATAAAAAATTTAAAGAAGAAAAAAATGTGGTATGCACTTGGAGCTATTAGCGCACAGAGGCAAGACCTAAGTGCAGCATAAATGAAGTTCTCTTAGGAAGGCTAACCTTTGACAAAGCAGATGTGTTTGCATTGTGTTGCCACTGTTTCTCCTAGGCCTAGGGAGAATTCACTTTCTTCTTGCTGAGATTAGTGTACAGATTGTGGACAACTTTGTCAGTCTTCTGTAACTCAAGTTAAATGGCAGGAAGTAGTATGAAGATAGTATGCTACCGACAGTGTGTTAAGTTGACAGTATGTGTGTGTGCTGTTTAATGTATTTTATTTGCATGCTGTCTGATACACTTTTCCTATCATCTGTGGTCCATATTGCACCCTGTAGTGGGATTCGTTTTAATTGTAGACTCTACAGCTGCTACTGTCTTCCATAGAGATGTTATAATAGTAAAAATAATAATAATGTTCCTTTGTTTCTGAAGGCTGCAGAACCACACAATAAAAGCCAATCTGTTAGTAAACAAAGGAAGCTAGACCATAGATAACATGTAAGAATTAAACATTTTTAAAATCTTACTACTATAAGCTCTCTATATCTTAAGATCACATTTATGGAATTTGACTTTAGTTGGACTGTGGGCAAGTACTCATTACAGTGCAATAGGTCTGGCTTATCTGTGCTGGGATCAAGGAAGGTATTTTTTTCCCACAAAAACATGTTTCCAATCCATAATAGGAAAGGAAAAAGGAAAAAATTTTTTCCTTTCCCTTTTTCCAAAAGGAAAAAAAATATAAGTTTGAAATAAATCATCTTTAAGTATCCTCCATGTAAGTATTTTGTTCTCTTTATTGATGTTTATAACTGTATTACATTATTTACATTTATCAGATTACAAATTTGGAATGTTAAATGTCACATCTCTGTGATTTTTACCTTACTTATATATACTTATATAAATATATATATGTATTTTATATATATACATATTTATATATGACAGTACTAATCAATAATATAATTAGAAATTGTATGAACTTATATATAGAGGAAAAATCTGGCTATCCTTTAGATCCTTCAGAATAGAAAAGGCCAATTACTTGAACCTCTTACAATCCAACTGAGTAGAAAATAATTAGTTGAAGGAACACTGAAAACTGTCAAGAGTTTCTGTCCATTTTTTGGCATCAAAATAATAGCATCAAAATATCAGGAACTTTTTTATAAAGGAAAATTATAGCATGTATTCAAGGGTAATGATTTTTCTCTTCTGTTGCTTTCAGAAAATTTAAAATGTAATATCATCATATTCCTTTTTCTATAAAATAGACAATTAAAACCATTTACTTGTCTGTTCTTATAGGTGAAATAAAGGTTTTTTTTTTAATGCCTATACAAAAACTTCCAAGATATTAGCCCTAATGACAGAATGATTTGGTAATGTCATGACTAGATCTCTTATTTGAAAACAATTCAGTGTTACAAAACAGAAGTATTTTAAAGTAATTTACCTTTACTTAAGAACAATTATAATCTCATTTGTGGATATATATGTCATTAATGAACCATTTCTTCACAAAAGTAAGAAATACTATTTCAGGAAGTCAGAGTATTCTAAGATTAAAGTTACCAGAGCTGAATGCTTCAGGCTCAAATAACCATTAAGAAATTGCCATCACCCATCAAAATTGAAACAAACACTACTGCTACTCACAATCCTGTCATTAAATTTTAAGAAATTATAGGTGGGAATTTTCTTATAAATGTTTTTAGCTCCAAAATACAGTACTTTGGGGGCGCCTGGGTGGCTCAGTCAGTTAAGCATCTGATTCTTGGTTTTGGCACAGGTCATGATCTCAGGTGGAGCCCCGCAGGGAATCTACTTGAGATTCTTTCTCTCTCTCTAACCTCCTTGTCCTCTCTCTCTCAAATAAATAAATAAATCTTTTTTAAAAATAAAATACTGTACTTTGTTTCCTGAAGAACAAGCTTCCAGGGTGCAATTCAAAGCCTCCATCCTCAGGCTACTTAGTTTGGAAGGTCATACATAAAATAGTTACAAGGTTTATTTCATGCCAACAAATTGTACCAGAAGATGAGACGTGATGAGTTAGATTCTTATTATATCTGAGCCACTGTCTCAAGTATGGAAAATATCTTAGAAGCCTATTTATACTCCAGGTCCACAACTTAGTATTCAGAAAGTTTACACACTAATGAGCCAAATAGCATGCTGACTCATTGGATTCAGAAAACTATTAGTGACTAACAGAATCATTGTGTTAACCAGAAACACCCTGCATTTTTGTTCATCTTTCTTTCGGATCACATTTTCACATCCAGCCTCTGGGTATTATTTCTTTGTAATCAAATAGTGGCAATTTAACTTGATAATTCTTTTGCACTTTCAGAGAAAAAGAAAAAGTTGGGTATTGACTGAGTCGCTTTTCCTGTAGTTGTTTTTTTCCAGAGGAGCTTATTATTGTCTGTACCTAGAATATTATTTTGCCTTCTTATCTTTTATTTTACAGGGAAAAAATCCATTTCATTTCTGGACTAGAAGTAATTTGTATTTCGTATTATTTGACTGAGCACTATTTCAATTTGATACTCTAGTTTTCTGTGTAAAAACTATATTTAAACAAAGTGACTTTCAATCCCTGCCTAAGCATATAGAATGAGGGAGGCCACCATATCTGTCACTTCATTCATCACCAGGGTGAAGGTGGCAAAACTGGCAAGCTAAGCAGCATCTGCTTCTGTCCACACACCATCTCATGCATCCCTCATGATGCAGCCTAATTCCCAAGCCTCCCTTCACTAGCTACTCCATCATTATGGTAGCTGTAAGTGTAGAAAATAGAGAATTTAAGGAATTTTAAAAGCTGGTAAAATTACCCTGTAAACCTCAGTTTTTAAAAATATATATTTCAGATTGACATTTCTTCTAAGTTTTGATTAATATGTCTTGAAATACAGGTTTCTTTTTTAAATGATTCACTGAAAACTTGAACTTAATATTCAAATATTACTTATCAAGTGGTTTTTAAACCCCTTGTTTAAAGTTACCATTAAATAAATGTCCTTAAACCTTAGATGTCTCCTTCAAATGAAAGAAAATTATTTTGTTCATAGTCTATCCCAGGATTTGTTTTAATGTGAAAACTCAATGCTTGGAATATTGGATTCCCAATCTCTCTTCTTTTGCAGGGACCAAGTAAAATATGACATCTGAGTTACAAAAGCAAATAGGCAGTCAACTCAACTTCTAAAGGTAAGCAATAGTATTGCAAATTTGCCTTATCTGCTGAAAAATAAGACTAAAATAATTTGCAGATATATCTTGCAGAGCCATCAGGACATGGATTGTTCTCATATGTTCTATAATCATTAATTTTCTGTTAAATATTTATGTTGCTTTTGGATCCATCAGTTTTTGTCTTCCCTTGTTGTATGATAAACTTTCTAAGAATGGGAAAGAAGGAAATACCACATCTTTACTTTTTGCCTTATATCCTCATGCTATCCTTGTTGGTGGATAAGTAAGAGCAATTAGAATCCAGAGTCACTTCAAATGCCCAAAAAACATTCTGCAACTATACCAACACATTTTAGTTCCTATGCACAACACATTATTAATAGTATAAAAAATTATTCTGGTTAAAGAGACTGCAGATGCTCTATCATTGTGTTATCTCATAAATGGCAATGAAAGGAAGGATTAGGAACTCTGACCTCTGCTACTCAGTTGATAAATAACCTTGTGTCATTTAACTAGTCACTTCCTATATTGCTTCATCTTTTTCATGGTATTAACATCTAAGTAACTGAGGAAGATCTCAATGGCTTTCTGTTTTGTTAGTGGTTGTGTTTAAACTGTTCCCCAAAGAGCTGATGACAAGGTGATTTTTTTGGTTAAGGATTCCTTTTCTTCAGTATCCTCATCTGGTTTACATCCTTTGTTGTCCTAGTCCATAACTGATCTATTTACATGTTTCCTTGCTCTTTTTTCTGAGTAGGCTTTAGGTTTATTCCTTGGTTTAAGAATGAAGCTATATCCACCCGATCCTTAACTTGTTAACATGCTAGACTCCACTGGCAGAAATGACTTAATTTGACCACTCCACACAGCCTGTTGGCCTTTCATAGTGCCTCTTACTACCCACATATGTGTACCAGCATTTCAGTTTTTCTTAGATTGCTCCGTTGTCCCAATTTCTTTCAGTTTGTCTCTCCCTAGATTTTCCTGAATCCTCATCTTCTATTTTTCTGAATGTCTCCCACCTACTCTTTCACAAGTCCACTCTCTCTATTTGTGTAGTATCATTACCCTTGAGCTTCCAACTTCCTAAAAATATGGATGGTCACAGTTCTTCTGAGAAGCTTTCTTCTCAGACATTTCCTAAAGGAGATTGGGAATGTAAAGAGATTTTTTTCAACCACCTCATTTTACAGCGAAAGAAACTGAAGTCTGTAGAGATGAGTTAGCAAAATTCACCTCATAATCCACCACAGAGTCAAAACTAAATCTAAGGTCTTTCAAAGTGCAAAGAACTGGAGAATCCAGCCTTAGTCCCCACTGAAATAATTCCGGCTCTCAGAGGTCTACCTTCACTGGGACCCATTTCCTCCAGTCAGTATAACCATGAGCAGAGTGTAGTAGAAATGCAAAGGAGGGGATCTGAAATCCTCCCAAGACATTGGCAGCCAGCACTTCTACAAATCAATTACCTTTCATTTCTTTAGCCAGGAAAGAATTATACTGCATATGAGTTGGAAAGGGAACATGTTATTATATATAAAAACAGAGAATTTTGTTGTTGTTGGCTTTGGTTGAAAAAAAATGTTTTGAATCCTCTCATTGGATATTGGATAACATAATTTTGGCAAAGGTTTTAGCTTTTGTTGGTCTTCTTCAGTTATTTTGCTTAACTTCCATGGTCACAAATTTATTCATTGATTCCCCTCTGTAGGAGATTCTTTGGTAGGTTTGATTTTTTTTTTTTTTTTTTTTTTTTTTTTTACCTACCCTGTTTTGAAAAGTTCCAGATGGCTTAAGATGCCTTACTTCTGTCTTCTCAGAGCCTCCACCCCCATCTGGTGGTATATTTAGGATTGACCATCAATGTGCCCTCAGAATATTTCTGAAGCCTTTAAAAGGGAACAAAATTTTATCTGTCAGTGAATAACTTTTATATGGTAGTCAGCTCTGAGTCTAGCATGTCTACTCATGGAAAATTGTTGAGAAACTAAGTTATCTTTCAGTTCTCTTTGGTATTCACGACCTTTCCTTGGTAATTTATAATGTTATACACTCATATAGCATTTCATGTTTTTCACATTATCTTGTTTGAGCCTATGAAGTAGGTAAGGCTGATTTTATCCCCCTTTTATGGTTGAAAACACTTCAGCTCAGAGAGATTCAGTGACTTGCCTAAAGTTACTTAGATAGTAAGTGGCAGAGCTAAGACTAGAATCCTAGCAAGCCAGCATTAAGATTGTCTTTGTCTTGGGTGCCTGGGTGGCTTAGTTGGTAAAGTGTCTGACTCATGATTTCCGCTCAGGTCATTAGCTAAGGGTTGTGAGATTGAGCCCCACATAAGGCTCTGTGCTGGGGGTATGGAGCCTGCTTAGAGTTCTCTTTCTCCCTCTTCCTCTGCCCCTCCCTCCAATTATTGTCTTTGTCTTATTGCCCCCCCCCACTTGTCTGAAAGGAAAAATAACACATATTAAGAAGTAGGAATAGAAAAGAGACATTTTTATTCATTAAAAAAAAAAGGAGTTGGCTATCATGAGAATCTTAAGACTGCTCCATACAGTAAAAAAGATTCAGGTCTTTTTTCCAAAACCGCTGATTTAACAGAGTGCTAATTATTGGTACAAACAGCAAAGCAAATTTCATTCTCAGGGGTCTTTGACTGCTAATCACATTTCTGTGCTACAACTGATTAAAACCATGCAGTTGTACTTGGAGTCACAATTCTCAAATGCTCTTGCTCAGTACTTTGCAAGGATTGTGTGGGAGTTCTACTGTGTGACTAATGGGCAGTGTAGGTAGGTGATGCCACAGAAGCCACAAAAACAAATTTCCATGAGTTAGAGTTAGAGAACTCTGGAAAGGCCAGGTGATTTCCCTTTGTCTGCCACTTGCCATATGAATTCAGACTTGCTAGGAGACACTGAAGAATATAAGAGAATAGAGAGGGAAGAAAGAGGGGCAGAGGTAAGATTCACTACCTATCACCGGCACTGTCCTCAAGAGTATCCAATTGCTTAGGACCTGGGAAGAAAGCACCAAAATTGCAAACACAGGATATTAAATTCATAACTGGTAAAAGTGCTTATACCTAGGAGGCACTCCTAACAAAGTTCTGGTTTTGTTAGGTAAGCTATGTTCACACATCGCTTAGGGTTCTGAATGGCCCAAACTGTGCAACCCAAACATGAGGAGTCCTTCTAGCCCTCCTAGGAACCTTCTTTGGGACCCTGACAAGAACCTTCCTTAACAATTTCTCCTCTTGGGGCCACTTTTTGTGAGAAGTGAGTCAGTATTCAACAGCCCAGAAAGAGGGACTAATATTTAACACTCTTTAATATGAAACCTTGCTAAAGAAGTCTTGAAAGTCTAATGGTTAAATTTTCTGGTGTCAAATTTTTTTATCTATACTTTGTTGTATATTCCTGCCATTTATTTATTAATATATTTCTCCTCTCAGCCCTTAAAGTGCTGTTTCCAAAATTCTTCAGTTCAAATTTCATGAATATTTGTTTCCCCCAACATCCTTCCTTCAAAGTTTGTCAGCCACCTTGTTCTCTCTCTTCCCAGCCTAACCTTACAGTGTCACAGTTAAGTTGTAAGGGAGGAGTAAAAAGACCTGCAATCTAGACTCTCCACCATGTGAGGTCACAGGTGTTCCAGAGTTTAAAGAAAACTAGATGCCTGTGCAAAGGTCTCCAGTTCCACTTCCATAAAGGAGGCATAGAACATAAACTTCTCAGACTGTGAGGTCTCCTGTCAAGATCCCTGGAGAAGACTCAAGCAGTTGCACACAGAGAGAAAGGAAACTTTCCCCTTTTTATTACATTTTTATATGTATTACCTAGTACATTTTAAATCCAGGGAACATCTTAGACATTTAATGGAAATGATAGTGAGGTACTATTCAAGTCCCATCAAGAAGGAAATGAAGGGCATGAACATTTCAAAATGGGTCATTAGACTGGTTGCCTCAGAACAATTTTGATCTTCATATTTAAGACCAGAAGTAAACAATATCCATGACCAGCTAATGAAATAACTATGCTGCTTAACAATCAAAGAGTCCTCTACATCATAAATCATCATTAAAACTGTAACCTAAACAAGCACACGTTACAGAGTTGATTTACAAAAGAGGAAAAAAATGAATCATCCTTTCACCTTGGCAAAGGTTGAGGTATCACAGAATAATTTCCTCCCTCCTATTATTGTCCTCAGTGAGTATGTTCAAGATCTGCTATTTTACTGCCATAATCTTAATTTAAGATTAAGGCAAACGAAAGATTCTAAACATCTCAACTTTTATTCTATAACAATTTCAGCATATTTGCAGTCTGTGTTATATTTCACCATGCATTGCCATTTTGTTTTTTTGTTCAGGACAATAATATCCAGATCTAGAGAAGACAAGGATGCCCAACATGTCACAGACAGCCTTCCGCAAAGGAGAGGAAGCCAGCAGCAAGCAAGAAAATGGTTTCTTTTTGAAAAGATAATTCTTCCGGACTTTACGGTAATCTTTTCTTAAAGAAGGAAATAGAGTTTGTGGTCAAGTTAAACCATTTGTTTGCTGGACTGTTAAGAAGAGAAACATTGGTCAAAAGTAAAACCATCCCAGTCTTCACATTATGCACATGATGTTCCGCCATCACTAATTTCTGTTATAACCTGCCTGTCTGTTAGGTCTACCCTCCCACCATTTCTGCAGAAGCATTTTCCAAAAGCACGTCTCAGGAATTCTGAATCTGTGGTCTGTCTGATTCTTTACACTTGGAATCTGGTCTGTCTCATTAAAGCATGGATTAACTGAGCTTCCTAATCACTGAAAGTAGTAGATGAGGTTTCCATGGAGTAACTGGTTGGGAGTTTTTAAACCTGCCTACACTTACCTCAAATTCATCCAAAATCGTGTCTTCTAGCTGCAGTACTAAGTACAAAATCCCATGGAAGGGAAATGCCAAGAATGTTTCAACTAATCTAAGGGAGCACTTTTTTTCCCACATTCTTATTCCTTATTCCTTAACAATCTTATTCTATACCTATCACAAGTATAGAATTTAAAAAATAATGAAATTTGCTCATTTGTAATGTTGACTCTCTGTGTAGTCAGAAGGTATGATTGTTTCCCTTTCTGAGAAACACATCCAGTCTATACCATGTAAACCTGCTTAACTTAATTTAATTTACATTGATTTATGTGTATTTATATAGCATATGAAGAAAGATGGGGCATATACAGTCCTAGAATGTGAGGAGTGAGAAAGTAAGGATTTTTCCCAGTATCTGTTTAAAAAAAATAAAGAAAAGCAAAATAACCCAAAAACCCATCCTGTGGTGACATTGAATTTTGTTTTATTACATTCAAACACTAAAAACTAAAATACTTCATTTTTTAAAAAGTCGTATACCAAGGGACTCAAACACATACTTGTATACCAATGTTCATAGCAGCATTATTCATAATAGCTGAAAGGTGGAACCAATGCAAGTGTCCATCAACAGATGAATGGATTTTTAAAAATGTGGTATATACAATATAATGATATTATTCATTCATTAAAAAATTAAATTCTAATATATGCTACAACATGGGTAAACCTTAAAAATGTTAATGCTAAGTGAAATAAGCCAGACACAAAAGGACAAATATTTTATGATTCCATTTATCTGAGGTACCTAGAATAGGCAAATTTATACAAGTGGAAAATATAATACAGTTTACAAGGGACTAGAGGAAGAAGGGAATGGGGAGTTATTATTTAATGGGTATAGAATCTATCTTTTGGGATGATGAAAAAGTTCTGGAAATAGTGAAGATGGTTGTACAATACCGTGAGTGTACTCAATGCCACTGAATTGTCCACTTAAAAATAGTTAAAATGATTTAAAAATAACTTTAATAAAATCTGATTAGTATTTCCAAGGCAAAAAGTAAACATCATATGCCAGTCTAAAGCATTTGAGAAGACATACATTGCTTGACAGAAAAATTTGTCATATAACTTTTTGGTTTAATATAAAAAGGATTCACATTTATCCCTGCATAGTGATGCAACATAAATATTTTCTTGCCACCAGGCCACACTGATCACATTATTTCCTCATTCTTTGGACATTTAGGAATAGACTTGCACATTTTTGGAAAACTGTCAATATTACCTTATACCATTTTGAACCATTAAGTATGATCTTTGAATCAATCGTATGTTGGCTAAATGTGTAGGCTGTTCTGTCTTTTTCATGGTTACCATGGAAACTGTGTAATCATGGCATTATGAGGAGACTACAAGGGCATCAGAGAGCACACAATAAAAGTTAACTTATTTCATGGTTTACAATTTCTTCCAGCTGTCTGCATTTGTGAATATCATGTTCACATTGGGAGTATAAATATACAACCAAAAGGGCTCCAATAACTATAGCCAATAAGCGATCTCACCCATAACAGACTTCCAACCTCCTTTCCTCAAAGATTTGGATAGAAACACATGAAAGAAGTGGCATGTAAGCTTCAGGTGTTTTCAATTATTTCCCTCATATGAGCAAAGATTTCCTAATGCAAAACATGTTTCAGCTCAAATAGTTTTCCTTAAAAGATTGTGTAGTTTCAGAAGAATTTCATCTACATATTCTTGATTCATTGACACTTCATCAATAACATAATATCTCCTCTGATCTCTTCTTTAAGATCATTTCCTCTCTGGGTGGTCAAAAATATGGTACATTTAAGTATTGTTTACTTTTGTGAAGTTCACTTTTAGAAAGTGTATGCCCCTGCAAGAAAAAGAAATAAATACTTGGTGCTGGGATTTGTAGTAGATTCCTTGTCAGTTAAGTCACCACAGAGTGTTCTAGCACAATGCCCCAACTATTTTCCTATTTAAGAACTGTCAGTTTCTCTCTAGAATCGTACAGATGGGGAAAGATAGGCCCACCTTTGCTGGTTATAAATCATTAACTGCCTAAATGCTCAGGCAAGCCTATTCAGGGATTACAAAGAAAGAATGTGGGTTTGGAGTATTTTGTTTTCCTAAGTTTCTATGAGTGAAAGCGACAACACTGTCATTTAGGCTTCAGCAGCCTGACATAACAGTGAGCTCTATCTTATAGTTCCAGAAATTTGCCACTTCATTATTGCCGTCTGCAAGTTAGCAGCCCCACTCTGTTTGTAATTACTTTATAGGAATTATGAGGATTACTTCATAAAGCATTTGAATAATGAACATTGCCAAATAATATTCATTGTTTAGGGAAACAAATTCATCTACAGATGGATGAATTAGATGAATTACAATGAAAAAGAAATCCAAAACCCTACCTACTGCTGAATATCCTCCAAGATAGGTGAACATTTTAAGCCCTACCTCAGCACATTCTCCCTGTCCCCTCCCCTTTCTGTCTGTCTGTCTATCTGTCTGTCTCTCTCTCTCTCTCTCTCACACACACACACACACACACACACACACACACACACACACACACACATTTTATGATTTTGGCAGGAAATAATGAAAGATAATTGTGAAAAGGTAAACATTGTTCTGATGATGAAGTGTTTTTGGTTAATTGCCAATGAGCTTTGAAGAGGAATCCAAATTTTCAGATCAGTATCAGGGCTAGAGTTCTTTTGGGAGGTAAACTCCTGCTACTCTTGGCACTTTATCCCAAGTCCAAGTAGAGGAGGCATTAGAATCTAACCATCTGAGCAAGTTTTAAACGTAGAACAACAATACAACTTTGTACTTACATAATAAGAATGGTTACCATTCATTTATGTTTGCAAAAATACTGGTTTGAAATATATCTATACAGACATATACATATTATTTGGAATACATTACAAGACAAACTAGATACAAGTAGAAATTTTGTTTCATTTTTAGAGTTTCACTTTCCTAATATTTTACTTTTCTTATGCTAAAGACCATTTTAGTAGGTTGAATGCCATGAAACTACCAGCCTGTAGTTTATATTTTACCACAGTATGAGAAAATGTAAAACTTTTAAAATATCATAGGAACTAATTTTCAATTTTATTTCTCATATTTCTTGTTCTACTAAAAACAGGGGAACTATAAGGAGCTTGGGGATGGTGATAGGTAGGAAAACATCTACTCCCAAGATGGCTCATTCAAATGACAGGCAAATTGGTGCTGACTGCATGTTCATGTCCACATTGGCCTTTGCATAAGGCAGCTTGGGCTCCCTCATGCAAGTTATCTAGGTTCTAAGAGTGAGTGTCCTAAGAACCAGGAAGTGGAAGCTACCAATGTCTTAAGATCTAGATGCAGAAAATGACATGGCATCGTGTCAAGAAGTTATAGAGCCTATATTTCAGGGGAGAGGACATAGACATCACTTTTCTAAAGGAGGCCTGAGAATTTTGTGGCTGGTTTTAAAACCAGCACTATTTGTAAATCAGCAAGAAAATACGTACTTCTTTTCAATTTGATCTTGTCTTTTTAATCTCAAGTGGGAATGTCTGCCCCAATCTTGGAAAATAAAGTATATCCCCTGAACCAGTTGAATCCTGATATTTCAAAGAATCACAACAAAACAGGCAAGAAACTGTGACATCCTCATCTTTACTTAAGGTATATTGTGAGTTTACTTGAAAAAGGGAAATCTATTTGAAATACTGTCCTGAAAGAATAATGGGCTATAGAGATTATAAATTACCTCTTAATTTCTTGCACCACCTTTCTAGGACCTCTCAGTATCTTTCTATCTTTAAATCACTAAAATCTATGCAGATTAGCTGGAGATATATCTTGAAGGGTTGGTAGTTGTCTAGCTAGTTTGCATTTTGCAAGCTTATTTTTTCCTGTCATGCATTCTTAATCACCAAATATTTTTGAGCACCTTTTATATGCTAAACACTGGAATTTTAAAAATACATGATTCATGGTTTTATGGGGTTCATATACCAGTGGGCAACATGCTTGTAACAACAACAACAAAAAAAAATCAAAGACATACTACAGTAAAGCTAAACACAACATCCTGTGGCTTCTTAGAGAATGAAGAATTCCAGATAGGTGCCATGGAGCTGATTTTAAGAAAAAAGTGAAGATGCTTCAAGCACATGCATGAAGTAAATGCACCAGATGGTTTTGAGAAATGCCCGTTTATATTGGTGTGCGTAGAATATGGAATGAAAGGAAGAACAAGGAGAAGAGAGTAGGAAGGTAGATTGAGCCAATCCTGAGCTTTGTGTTCTGGGGCCAAGTTTGAACATTATAGAAAGGAAATAGTAATTCCAGATTCGCCTTTGGAATTGTCAGTACATGGGAAAGTGAGAGATGGAGAGAGAATTTGTTCCACTATAATATGGTGGCTACTTTTCTAAGAAACCTTTTCCAAACACACTTTTTATAAGACTTGCTTTAAAACAATCAAAAAATTTTTTTCAATGAGAAAAAAAATATGGAGTAGAGCATTTCTAGCTACACACATATAAGTTACAAAACCTAAAAGTCATTGAGCAAATGCAGTGTTTGATTATATCTAGCTTTGGCTTCAGGGTAAAGATCTGTCTTTACTGTCAGGATAAGCTTCTTAAAATTCTCCTTACCTCCATCATCTACTGTTAGAACAAAGCATACAAATAAATACTCGAAGAAGGTAGCCATGATTTGTGTGATGGATTCCCCATCCTCCAGGAATTTAATGTTAAAGCCAATATCAAATCTGTACAATTAACTCATGTTACCAAGTTAATAATGGCATATTGTCCAATCTCCTTTGTGAAAATATGCTACTGAGAAATCGTCATATTCAAGGAGCTATCTCAGGAATTGAGGAAGGTATTTTATTAAGGAGAAAGACTGGAGGTGTGAACCTAAATTGAAAAGTTGGCTTGAATTATTCTAACCCTATGTTACAGAATTTTTAGCTAAAACTTCATGGGGGGTGGGGAGATAATTCTAATTTTAAAAAGACTTTTCAAAAATGTGCTAATAACAAAAACAGACACATAGATCAGTGGAACAGAATAGAGAACCCAGAAATGGACCCTCAACTCTATGGTCAACTAATCTTCAACGAAGCAGGAAAGAATATCCAGTGGAAAAAAGACAGTATCTTTAACAAATGGTGTTGGGAAAATTGGACAATCACATGTAGAAGAATGAAACTGGACCATTTCCTTATACCATACACAAAAATAGACTCAAAATGCATGGATGAAGACCTAAATGTGAGACAGGAATCCATCAAAATCCTAGAAGAGAACACAGGCAGCAACCTCTGTGACCTCAGCTGCAGCAACTTCCTCCTAGACACATCTCCAAAGGCAAGGGAAACAAAGGCA